AGGGGATCATCTACAAATAAATTACAATCACGGAATAAATAATTTGATTTTTGAGTCAACCAAGGAATCATGTACGAATAAATTACAATCACGGGACAAACAATATGATTATTGAGTCAGTCAGGGGATCATGTACGAATAAGTTACAACCACGGGACAAACAATATGATTATTGAGTCAACCAGGGGATCATGTACGAGTAGGTTAAAATCACGGGACAAACAATATGATTATTGAGTCAGTCAGGGGATCATGTACGAATAAGTTACATTCACGGGACAAACAATATGATATTTGAAACAACCAGGGAATCATGTACGAATAAGTTAAAATCACGGGACAAACAATATGATTATTGAGTCAACCAGGGGATCATGTACGAATAAGTTACAATCACGGGACAAACAATATGATTATTGAGTAAACCAGGGGATCATGTACGAATAAGTTACAATCACGGGACAAAAAATATGATTATTGAGTCAACGAGGGGATCATCTAAGAATAAATTACAATCACGGAATAAATAATTTGATTTTTGAGCCAACCAGGGGATCATGTACGAATAAATTACAATCACGGGACAAACAATATGATTATTGAGTCAGTCAGGGGATCATGTACGAATAAGTTACAATCACGGGACAAACAATATGATTATTGAGTCAACCAGGGGATCATGTACGAATAAGTTAAAATCACTGGACAAACAATATGATTATTGAGTCAGTCAGGGGATCATGTACGAATAAGTTACAATCACGGGACAAACAATATGATATTTGAGTCAACCAGGGAATCATGTACGAATAAGTTAAAGTCACGGGACAAACAATATGATTATTGAGTCAACCAGGGTATCATGTACGAATAAGTTACAATCACGGGACAAACAATAAGATTATTGAGTAAACCAGGGGATCATGTACGAATAAGTTACAATCACGGGACAAACAATATGATTATTGAGTAAACCAGGGGATCATGTACGAATAAGTTACAATCACGGGACAAACAATATGATTATTGAGTCAACCAGGGGATCATGTACGAATAAATTACAATAACGGGACAAATGATATAATTTTTGGGTCAACCAGGGGATCATGTACGAATTAATTACAATCACGGGACAAATAATTTGATTTTTGAGCCAACCAGGGGATCATGTACGAATAAATTACAATCACGGGACAAATAATATGATTTTTGAGTCAACTAGGGAATCATGTATGAATAAGTTACAATCACGGGACAAACAATATGATTATTGAGTCAACCAGGGGATCATGTACGAATAAATAACAATCACGGGACAAATAATATGATTTTTGAGCCAACCAGGGGATCATGTACGAATAAATTACAATCACGGGAAAAATAATATGATTTTTGAGTGAACTAGGGGATCATGTACGAATAATTTACAATCACGAGACAAACAATATGATTATTGAGTCAACCAGGGGATCATCTACGAATAAGTTACAATCACTGGAGAAATAATATGATTTTTGAGTCAACCAGGGGATCATGTACGAATAAATTACAATCACGGGACAAACAATATGATTATTGAGTCAGTCAGGGGATCATGTACGAATAAGTTACAATCACGGGACAAACAATATGATTATTGAGTCAACCAGGGGATCATGTACGAATAAATTAAAATCACGGGACTAACAATATGATTATTGAGTCAACCAGGGGATCATGTACGAATAAGTTACAATCACGGGACAAACAATATGATTATTGAGTCAACCAGGGGATCATGTACGAATAAATTACAATCACGGCACAAATAATATGATTTTTGAGTCAACCAGGGGATCATGTACGAATAAATTACACTCACGGGACAAACAATATGATTATTGAGTCAACCAGGAGATCATGTACGAATAAGTTACAATCACGGGACAAACAATATGATTATTGAGTAAACCAGGGGATCATGTACGAATAAGTTACAATCAGGGGACAAACAATATGATTATTGAGTCAACCAGGGGATCATGTACGAATAAATTACAATCACGGCACAAATAATATGATTTTTGAGTCAACCAGGGGATCATGTACGAATAAATTACACTCACGGGACAAACAATATGATTATTGAGTCCACCAGGAGATCATGTACGAATAAGTTACAATCACGGGACAAACAATATGATTATTGAGTCAACCAGGGGATCATGTACTAATAAATTACAATCACGGGACAAATAATATGATTTTTGAGCCAACCAGGGGATCCTGTACGAATAAATTACAATCACGGGACAAATAATATGATTTTTGAGTCAACTAGGGGATCATGTACGAATAAGTTACAATCACGGGACAAACAATATGATTATTGAGTCAACCAGGGGATCATGTACGAATAAATTACAATCACGGGACAAATAATATGATTTTTAAGTCAACCAGGGGATCATGCACGAATAATTTACAATCACGGGACAAACAATATGATTATTGAGTCAACCAGGGGATCATGTACGAATAAGTTACAATCACGGGACAAACAATATGATTATTGAGTCAACCAGGGGATCATGTACGAATAAATTACAATAACGGGACAAATGATATGATTTTTGAGTCAACCAGGGGATCATGTACGAATTAATTACAATCACGGGACAAATAATATGATTTTTGAGCCAACCAGGGGATCATGTACGAATAAATTACAATCACGGGACAAATAATATGATTTTTGAGTCAACTAGGGAATCATGTACGAATAAGTTACAATCACGGGACAAACAATATGATTATTGAGTCAACCAGGGGATCATGTACGAATAAATAACAATCACGGGACAAATAATATGATTTTTGAGCCAACCAGGGGATCATGTACGAATAAATTACAACCACGGGACAAATAATATGATTTTTGAGTCAACTAGGGGATCATGTACGAATAATTTACAATCACGAGACAAACAATATGATTATTGAGTCAACCAGGGGATCATCTACGAATAAGTTACAATCACGGGACAAACAATATGATTATTGAGTCAACCAGGGGATCATGTACGAATAAATTACAATAACGGGACAAATGATATGATTTTTGAGTCAACCAGGGGATCATGTACGAATAAATTACAATCACGGGACAAACAATATGATTATTGAGTCAGTCAGGGGATCATGTACGAATAAGTTACAATCACGGGACAAACAATATGATTATTGAGTCAACCAGGGGATCATGTACGAATAAATTAAAATCACGGGACTAACAATATGATTTTTGAGTCAACCAGGGGATCATGTACGAATAAGTTACAATCAGGGGACAAACAATATGATTATTGAGTCAACCAGGGGATCATGTACGAATAAATTACAATCACGGCACAAATAATATGATTTTTGAGTCAACCAGGGGATCATGTACGAATAAATTACACTCACGGGACAAACAATATGATTATTGAGTCCACCAGGAGATCATGTACGAATAAGTTACAATCACGGGACAAACAATATGATTATTGAGTAAACCAGGGGATCATGTACGAATAAGTTACAATCACGGGACAAACAATATGATTATTGAGTCAACCAGGGGATCATGTATGAATAGGTTACAATCACCGGACAAACAATATGATTATTGAGTCAACCAGGTGATCATGTACGAATAAATTACAATCACGGGTCAAATAATATGATTTTTGAGTCAACCAGGGGATCATGTACGAATAAATTACAATCACGGGACAAACAATATGATTTTTGAGTCAACCAGGGGATCATGTACGAATAAATTACAATCACGGCACAAATAATATGATTTCTGAGTCAACCAGGGGATCATGTACGAATAAATTACACTCACGGGACAAACAATATGATTTTTGAGTCAACCAGGGGATCATGTACGAATAAATTACAATCACGGGACAAACAATATGATTATTGAGTAAACCAGGGGATCATGTACGAATAAATTACAATCACGGGACAAACAATATGATTATTGAGTCAACCAGGGGATCATGTACGAATAAGTTACAATCACGGGACGTAAAAGTTGCCTTCTTTAGTTTTCAAGCAGTGAAATGAACAATTTTTTCTCATGTTTCTGAGATGAATCAAACTCTGTTTATAAGAATATAGTCGTATCAAAAACCGTACAAATTGTTTTCAAATCGTCGTTTGGCTTTTCAATTTGAAGTGTTCTTCGTGTAAAAAAACCCTAGTATATAGTAGAATTAGTTTGCAACTTTAGACCTAAGAGTATTTGCTGGAAAGTTAAGGACCTGATCTAGGCTCTCATAAAAGTCCTCACAATTTCATCCATCATATGTCAAAACTTCAACCGTGAATCTCTAGTGGTTGTAGAGAAAACGGCAAAAAGATGAAAAAATTGTTCATTCCATTGCAATTCGATTTTGATGAAGGTGGACTTTCACCATCCCCTATAAACTTCTAGAGCTACTGAACTCAAACATCTAGATGATTTTTTTAAATATTGATTAAAAACTCTTTTCGCTCAACAGGAAAAAATTGTGCGAGATTGCTCAATAATTGTTCAAAAGTTTATATTTTTATAACAGTGAAATTTCAACCCAAAAGGTCAGAATTCCAACTGTGAATCCCTAGTATTTGTAAAGAAACTGTAGAAAGTGAAAAAACAAAACTTTCATTCAATAGCTCTAAAACTCTAAAACTTAAAGTTGCAAAATCCATGCCCCGTGAATACAATTTAAATTGAATCAGATATTTATAAGATAACGTTTCGATAGGGTCATTCTATTAGGTTAAAATTAATCTAATAATGATAGTCCAAATTCTGATAGGTTAGCTGTAGTCGGCTATAATTGTGTCTTATAACAATAACAGTCTGTTATATTTCGGATTCTCTGGCCAGTATTTCGGAGAGTCCCATATTTCGGACTCTCAGAGCTACTAAACTCAAACATCTAGATGGTTTTTTTAAATATTGATTCTATAGGGTTTTTTTAATACGTTTGTATAGTTTGTCAACCTAGCAGGTTAAAACTAATCTATTAATCATAGTTTAAAATCTAATAGGCTTTTATCCAGCCGCGCAGTCTGTTATAATTGTGTCTAGTAACAACAGTCTATCTGCTATATTTCGGACTCTCTGGCCAGTGATCTCTGGTGGTAGTATGTGAAGTAGAAGCAGAGGGTGAGCAGGAGAAGGACTGTGCCCAGAAGACCCATGAACAGCAGGGCTGACAAGAATGCCGCCACCAGGGGCTCCGGAATCACATCACTGTCCTGTTATATTAACAAACCAAATTATAATTAACAAGGATAGCCTGTTGCTATGAAAGCAGCTCATTAAGCTACCACCACAATAACTAAAAAACACTTTTCCCTCAAACATGTCATTTTTGGCTCATTGTTTGCTGAAAGGATCTGAGCGAAAGCCTAGAATTTGATCATGTTCAAAGCTATAGTAAGTTACGCATATTAGACAATGGAATTATGGAATTGTAATTTGAATAAACCATTATTCCGATCTTAGGAGAAAACAACAAATTAAGCTGCCTATCGAGTTGTCTTTGTTTAAAAAAATACTTAACACCAAAATAGCCGGTTACTGTGCAAACAGCACAGAATGTTCCGACCATAGTCTTAAAAAATACAAAAAAATTACAAAAAATACAATTTTTCTGCGCTGTGTGAAAAAAAGATTTGAACGAAAAAATAGAACTTGGGCGACAATCAGATTCAAGCATTCACAATCAGATTTAAGCAGAATCAACAATCAGATTCAAGCAGGCCAATTGGAAAACGAGTTTTGTAGAAAATTGACTAGAAAAAGTTTTGATTCCCAAAATGAAACTAAAAAACTACAAAAACTAGTTTTATTTGCTTAAAATTAAATTTTAAGGTCTGAAATTAGGCATAACTCAGCTGTTGTAAGCCTGCTTGTTTTTTTATTCGCTCGAATTAAGACAAAAAATTAAAAATTTCATATCGATTTTTCTCAACACTGGGAAAACTTTTGTTAATTTTTTTTTGTCGTCCGAGTCACGACTGAAAGGGCTTTATTATGATATATCATTCTACACAGTCAAATGATTTTTTGTGGTAGCTGATTTTGCGTGGAAAAAAATTTAAACACACTCGAATAAAAACACTTTTCCCTCAAACATGTCATTTTTGGCTGATCGTTCGCTGAAAGGATCTGAGCGAAAGCCTAGAACTTGATCATGTTCAAAACTATAGTAAGATACGCTTTTTAGACAAATTTTGTGTCAACAATGGAATTATGGAATTATAATTTAAATAAAAAATTATTCCGATCTTAAGAGAAAACAAAGAATTAAGCTGCCTATCGAGTTGTCTTCGTTTATAATAACACAAGAATATCCAGTTACTGTGAAAACAGCACAGATTTTACCGACCATAGTCTTAAAAAAATATTTTAAAAAAATATAAAAAAAATACCAAAATACAATTTTTCTGCGTGGTGTGAAAAAAGATTTTAACGAAAAAAATAGAACTTGGGCGACAATCAGATTCAAGCAATCACAATCAGATTTAGGCCGATTCGACAACCAGATTCAAGCAGGCCACTTGGAAAACGAGTTCAAAGCTATAGTAAGTTACGCATATTAGACAATGGAATTATGGAATTGTAATTTGAATAAACCATTATTCCGATCTTAGGAGAAAACAACAAATTAAGCTGCCTATCGAGTTGTCTTTGTTTAAAAAAATACTTAACACAAAAATAGCCGGTTACTGTGCAAACAGCACAGAATGTTCCGACCATAGTCTTAAAAAATACAAAAAAATTACAAAAAATACAATTTTTCTGCGCTGTGTGAAAAAAAGATTTGAACGAAAAAATAGAACTTGGGCGACAATCAGATTCAAGCATTCACAATCAGATTTAAGCAGAATCAACAATCAGATTCAAGCAGGCCAATTGGAAAACGAGTTTTGTAGAAAATTGACTAGAAAAAGTTTTGATTCCCAAAATGAAACTAAAAAACTACAAAAACTAGTTTTATTTGCTTAAAATTAAATTTTAAGGTCTGAAATTAGGCATAACTCAGCTGTTGTAAGCCTGCTTGTTTTTTTATTCGCTCGAATTAAGACAAAAAATTAAAAATTTCATATCGATTTTTCTCAACACTGGGAAAACTTTTGTTAATTTTTTTTTGTCGTCCGAGTCACGACTGAAAGGGCTTTATTATGATATATCATTCTACACAGTCAAATGATTTTTTGTGGTAGCTGATTTTGCGTGGAAAAAAATTTAAACACACTCGAATAAAAACACTTTTCCCTCAAACATGTCATTTTTGGCTGATCGTTCGCTGAAAGGATCTGAGCGAAAGCCTAGAACTTGATCATGTTCAAAACTATAGTAAGGTACGCTTTTTAGACAAATTTTGTGTCAACAATGGAATTATGGAATTATAATTTAAATAAAAAATTATTCCGATCTTAAGAGAAAACAAAGAATTAAGCTGCCTATCGAGTTGTCTTCGTTTATAATAACACAAGAATATCCAGTTACTGTGAAAACAGCACAGATTTTACCGACCATAGTCTTAAAAAATATTTTAAAAAAATATAAAAAAAATACAAAAATACAATTTTTCTGCGTGGTGTGAAAAAAGATTTTAACGAAAAAAATAGAACTTGGGCGACAATCAGATTCAAGCATTCACAATCAGATTTAGGCCGATTCGACAACCAGATTCAAGCAGGCCAATTGGAAAACGAGTTTTGTAGAAAATTTACTTAAAAAACGAAAAAGTTAAACAACTTTTAAATTTTTTTCCGGAAAATTTTTGCTTTTTTTGAAGTTTTGATTCCCAAACTGAAACTAAAAAAACTCCAAAAACTTGTTTTACTTGCTTGAAATTAAGTTTTAGGCATAACTCAGCTGTTGTAAGCCTGCTTGTTTTCTTTATTCGCTCGAATTAAGACAAAAAATTAAAAACTTCATACCGGTTTTTCTCAACACTGGGAAAACTTTTGTTAAATTTTTTATTGTCGTCCGAGTCACGACTGAAAGGGCTTTATTATGGTATATCACTCTACCCAGTCCGATGATTTTTTGTGGTAGCTGATTTTGCGTGAAAAAAAAACTAAAACACCCCGAATACAAAGTTCCTCCCCATTTTCAATGGTCGGAACAACAAGGATCACTGATTGCTGTGCAAACAGCACAAAATATTCTTATCCTACTCATTTTCATATTGAAAAATTTTGATGCGGTATATTATAGAAGATTTTACTTTTTTGAAATGTTTTTTTTTTGTGGTCTACGGCGAAGTCGCAAACAGTTTTAATTTTGAGAACAATTCAACAACAAAATGTGCAGTCCACTCTAAAAAGCAGCTATAAAATTGAACAAAATATAGTGTAAGTTTTGTGCCCACCATTGAAAAAGAGGATGAGTTTTGTCGTCGACTGGGGTTTAATTACCAGTTACCACAAATTCTCGTCGGATTGAGTTGAGTGATGTGTCAAATTGAAACGTTTTCAGTCGTAATTCGAATGACACAAAGAATCTCCAACATTTTTTAATTGTCAAGAAAAACCGTTATGAAACTTTTGGCTTTGATTCTAATTATGACAGTTAAAAGAGAGCAAGTAGACTGATTAAAGAAGGCTTATTCAAAAATTAACTTTTATCAAAAACTTCAAAACTTAGTCTTATTCCAATAAAAATAATTTTCTGGTTTTTCAAAAAACTATTAAAAAAAGGTTGTCGATGTACTGAACATATTGAAGGACAAATAATTATTTCTCTGTGATAGATTAACATCAGATAAAATTGAACATTTTGATAAAATTTTTTTGAGTTTTTGTTAATTTATGTTAGCCTAGTATTGAAACCTAATTTTTCTAAGTAGATTTTAGGACAAAATCCTCAACTGGGCGTAATTGTTCCCTCCAGGGAGTCATGTATGCTCATTCTAGAAAAAATTTAGTGTTTATTACTATTGTATTAATAATTTTTTTTAGATTATTTTTTAGTATTTTTTTTCTTTTTAATATCACCTTGATGTGGTGCGGAACCATGAAGTGCATGAGCTCAGTGAGATTGTAAAATTCCTTGTCTCGCTCCATCCACTCCGCCACCCGGTAGTACACCTAAAAGAAGACAACACTTGGGGTGAATTGATTAACACCGCCTCAAATTACTCACATATGCGATAGTTGATCCAGTTTGTCTATTCACATTTAACCACTCTTGAGTTTACTGAGGCATTTTTGCCCCAAATGAATTGGGTAGAAATGCGTGAGAGACGAAATAATGTACCACATTCGTTGCTGTTAAGCCATGTGTGTTTCAAGCCCTGCTCTCGATAGTGTGCTAAGGAAAATTGTGTTAATGGTACGGTACCATAATTTACTCCTAAGAATTGTAAACATGAAGTAATTCCAAGTCTAACTGGTTACCCATGAAGTAGTTAGATTTGAATTTACTTAATCTGCGTACTTTTATAAAAACACTTAAGGTTATATGCATTTTTTTCCTGGCAAAAGTTCCTTTTTTTGTTTTTTTTTGGCGAAATCCGCTTAAAGATGAATTAGAAATGATCAAATAGTTCAAAACTTTATAAATATTTAAATTCAAATACAAATTCTAATATAGAAAAAATTATTGGTCCACAAAAATCAAAAACATCTTATATCAATTTCTGCTCTGAGACACCTGTGAACGGACCTAGAGGTCAAACAGTGCTCTCCTAGGCGGTAAATTTGTTCGCGTGCTTTGTTAATTTGCTTATATAAATAAACAGTTTTTATATAATTATGATTATACATGGCCCCACCTACCTGCATAACAGGGTGAACATCTTCCCCCTCCCCCTCCTGCAAGGTCAAGGTCGTCTGTTGTTGCTGCTGCTGGATTCGGATAGAGTTCAGAAGAGTTCGTTGACCTTGACGCAGCTGACGCAACATGGGGTCATCGTGGTTCAACCAGTTGATGCGTGAATAGACCTTCGAATCGTCCATTTCAATCAGTGAAAATAAATTTTAATTATTGTATCCAGCAATTTGAGGAGTTTACTCAGAGGATTTCAAAAGTTTTGAAAGTTTCCACAACGTGAATCTATTTTTTGAAATTGTTTAACAAATGTTAAAACGTGGTCCTATTTTTCGAAGTTTTGCGAAATTTTTGCAATTTATCTTCAAAAATTTAATAGAACCAAAACTTTTTCAAAAAGTTGAAACGAAAGATTAATTATTTGCTTCAAAATGAATAAAAATATAGTTGAAACACAAACTAAAAAAAGAAACAAAATTTTCAATCGAGTTTAATATGTAACTGAACACCGCAATAAATCAATTTGATCTCAATCCTCCGAGAAAGTGAAATTTTCAATACGATTGAAGATAGCAAATGGTCCAACAGGTGAAATTCAATGATGCGCAAAATTTTTCTTTGTTATCTGACATCGGCTTGTCAAGAAATGGGGCTTGGTGTTTTTTTTGCAAATTGTTAAATTGAAATTTCAAAAAAAAACAACGTGCGAAAAAATATGAAATACTGCTAATGATATTAACTGATTTTCTTGTTTTCCCGTCCACACAATTAAACTTTGCTTTTGGCGAATAAACCATTAATAAATGCGATTCCTTTAATAAAATAAGAAAAGTCAGAACTGACTATTTCAAATAATTTTTGGAAATTTTGACAAAATGCGTTTTTGGCAAAAAATGTGTCTTCAAATATGGTGGGCGGCATCATGAAAACTTTTTGAGTTGGTAAGCGGAAAATGTATGAACAATAGTGAAAAGTAGCTCTCTCGGGCGGAAAAGAGTCAAACTCCCGACGGCTCGAGATTTTTTAACAGTTAATTTGTTTACCTTTTTTATAATAAAAAAACACGTTGTAATCACGGTTCATGCGTAAATATGTCTGCTTAGCCAAAGACGAATCTAAGAATAAATCTGACGCAAATGATATTATAGTTCTGAAAAGCGATGGAGAAGTTACTTAGGACTCTCAGTCGAAAGGTCTGTGGGTCGAGACCCACCATGATCCGATTCATGATCGGTGCTTGCGAGTGTGAGGTAAAATTACACAGCTCAATGATAAGCAAAATTAAGTGTTCCTTAAATGTTAAATCTCAAATCTTAAAAGTACACTTCGATGATATCCAAAAAAGTTGCCTTTCGTTCCATAAAATTAGTCGAAAATTTAAAAAAAAATTGCGAGCTCGCGCAACTATATTTCGCTTTAAGAAGTAACCCGTAAACACTCTCTACTTTTTCCAGAAGAAAAACGTGCGATGTTTCTATAGCATCAGACAAGCAAAGAGTATCACCATCCAAACAAACTTTCACCTCAGATATTTGCACTATGAATTGACCAAAACATTATTCTCATAACGAATCCACTCAAGTTCTGAAGTTAGTTTTGAAGTTAGCTTCGTTATTCACAACGAAGTTTTCGGTGGAAATGAGACTTGTTTCAGGTTTAGCTTCAGCAGTTCTCTTATTGTTATTTGTGGTTAGAAATGACAGCGCTCGACCTCAAAGATGTCCTCTGGTTTCGGCAGTGCACATAAGTGAACAGCTTTACGGGGGCAGGTGGTACGAAGTGAAGAGAGGAGCATATTCATCACCCAGGGGAGAGAGGTGTACTATTCTAGATCACGCCTTTAAAAAGGATGCAGGAGGTTAGCGGTGTCCTCGTTTTTTAAAACACGCCACTTTTTAAACCAAACCTTTTCACCCACCACTTTTCAGTCATATGTTTTTAACCCGCCATTTTTAAACCATACGTGTTCGCCCTCTAAGTACTTTACTCCATAAATTCTTCATTCCCTGAGTTTTTCACACAAAGGGGATGTCGGTTTTTTAAACAAAAAGCCGCCCGACAAAAATGTATGCGAGCATCAAATAATGAGCATCAAAAGCGCTGGAGACTAACAAATTACAAATTATGCTCCTTCACAGAAAACTGTCAAAGTTAAATAAATAAAATTACTTTTTTACGCTTCCCAAATTGAATCGAGGTCTCCTATGAGAATAAAATAATCTATTTACTCCTCAATTTTTTTTCCGAAGCGAAATTTCAAAAAACAAACGAAAAAAGTTAAAAAATTATAACAAAAAAAGTTTGCGTTTTTCGGCACGCAATCTCACACAAATTAATTACATTTTGGTGGGGTAACAAAAAACTTTAGGCTTAGTTTGTCAAAAATGAATGTCAAAAGAATTTTAAAAACTCAAAGGAAAGATCCTTTGGCTGGACAGTCAGGGTTTCGAACTCCTCACGCCAAGGGTTATGACGTTTCATTTATTAGGCTGGTACGTAGAACTGAACGAAACCTTTCTCAGTTTTTCGTCTAACTCGGACTACAAGAAAGAAACCTTCATTTGCAGACAACCCATGAGCATCAGAAGCACGTCATTGGGGGCTTTTACAATCGATCAAATTTCCACATCCCCTCAACCGGTCCTGAGGAAAATTGCAAACAACAACAGACTTGTTGTTTACTTGGACGACAAATTTGCTGTTATTTACTTCTGCCGAGAGGCTGTTCCTGTGAAAATGGAATCGGCGTGGGTCTTGTCAAGAGACAAAATAATCAATGAAGCTGACTTCAAAATTATACAAGAAAAGTTGATCAGAAAAGGAATCGATGTTCTGCTGGCCGATGTGAACCAAGCCGACTGTCCTGATGTAAAGGAGGAAGTAGAGGCCAAAAGAATCGAAGCTGAGAAAAATAAGGAAAATGAAAGATTATTTTTGGAATGTATGCGGAAGTTTTCAGACGCCAAATCTGGTGGCTTTACTTATTGCAAAAACTATTATAAGACACAAAACTGAATACTGCCAATCAAGTACTGTGTTACATCTATCCAAAAACGGTTTACAGACGTTTTTATTTCGTTTTTCATAATTTGATCAGCTCCTTAAAGCCTCAGCCCCTCTTTTGATACAAGACGGGTAAACTCGTCTTTTATCAGAAAAAAACTAAAATCATGGAGTGAAAACAGAAGATTAAACTGCAAAACTGACACTTTGATGACTGAAGTGAATAATTATCGCGAGTTGAATGATATGCTACATTGAAACCCTTTTGGTCGTGATTCGAGATGCAATTAAAGAAGCAAAATTCTCCGAGCGCCGAGAAAAAACGGATTTAACTTTTCGTTTTTAGAGCGGAGATCGAAAAATGGACGAGCTTGTGTCAATCTTTTCTAAAAACAACTACTATTGCCTCGTAGCAAACTTTATGAATCTCATGAGGCAAGCTTAATTTAATAAATTTCATTCCCTGCTGCAGAAAAAAACTTAAAACAGTATTGGGAGAAAGTAAATATTAATTACGAGGTCAAGACCCTCTGCTCTATATACACAGCAACCTTTTCAGGGGAGAATCTATGATTTTTCCATGAGGATTTTCAAAAAAATAACAAGATAATTTTTCTGGCTAAGCTATTGTATAAGGTTATAAAGCTAATTTCAAGAGCAAAACGTTCTAGGTCACAGAGGCAGAAACAGTCAAAGCAGGTGTTATACCCTCATCCGTTAGGTGAGGTATAATCTATGTCCAGTGAAACGTATGCGCTAGGTAAGAATTAGACGAGAAACGATAACAACTTAAATTCAACTCTCTATGTTTAGGTCATTTTCCTCCTTCCATAAAAAGTTAAATTTGTTGGTTGTAGACAGTAGAGGTCGTAAGGGAGTACATAATTGAGCCAGGTTAGGGATAAACTTGTTCAAGTGATGGGTAGACCCCATAAAGCGTTTCAGTTGTTTGTATGTTTTTGGATGTTGCAGGTTTATCATTGCGTCTGTTTTCTTTTGTATAGGGGTTGTGCCGTCTTCATTTATAACAAATCCCAGCCACTCTTATTCTTTGCAGCCAAATTTAAATTTGTCTACTGAGATGGCCATGTTTTCGGTATCCAACTTATTTAGAACTTTTGTTAATTTTCCTTAGTACCGCGCGAAATGATAAGAATATCATCCAAAAATGCGAAAGTGTCTTTTTCGTTTTTAAGTGTCAGATCTATAGCTTTCTGAAACTTCGTGGACATATCGGTGAGCCCGTAGAAGCCTGTTTGGAACTGGTAGGTTCCCGCTGCTCTGTCACGAATTATGCTAAAATTACACAGCGTTCGTGTTGTTTCGTCAAGTGGTAGTTGGCTAATCGCGTAGCGAAGGTCTATTGTAGAAAAATATGTCGTCACCGGTTTATTTGTACCCTCTTGAGCCGATTGTGCTATGTTGTCTAACAAAACATCAAGGTTTATTGATTGGTCCTTTTTCACCGTAATCACAATAGGGCTTATGAATTGTTGGTCACTGCATTTCTTCAAGCGGACTAGATGAACTTGATCAATTAACGATCGAATTTAGTTTTCCACTTCTTCTTGAATATGAATGGGACTTCTCCCTCGTTGTTGCAGAGCTCTGAATTCTTTCAAAAATTAGTATGAACAATGTGGTTTTTTGAGCGCCTTATCCGTGTACAAAGTCCAGGGTACGTGGTTCTGACCCATGTCGCTATTTGTGCGTCTGAGCTGTCAATATTGTTAACATGAAGTGTTGACTTACCGACTGGTTTGCTTTCCTGGTGTAGTTGTATTCCGATTTGTGGTTGAAGGTTGCGCCCCAGGATGTTCGCTCGTCTGTCGTCCACCACTATGAAGGAAGCTGTTTGAATCGTCCATCCTCCTCATTCTATAGGGGCGATTAATCGCCCAAGTGAAGGGATTTTGTATCCATTGTAGCAAACCATTCGATTAGCTTCGTCGTCGTCTCCCATTTTGATTTTGTGTGCCGATTTCACTGTGGATGCCAGGAGGTTAGCTGTTTTTTCATTCACAAAAGAAGTTGGAGATCCTGTGTCGGCATTGAAAACTATGCTATTTTTCTCCGAGCAGACTCGTATAAGGTGTCCTTGGAGATCGGTATCAGTGATTTTATCCGCTCGTTTTGGCTCAAAATGTATCCAGTTTGTGGATGTATCATCTGGATGGATCAATTCCCATCCCGGGATAATATCGCCTGCTTGGATGTAATTGACGTAGGCGGTCGTGTCTGTGTCCTGTAAGTCTTGTTTTGCCGAAACGTTCTTTTGGATTGCGTTGATCTCGCTATACTTGCATAGTTTCACGACATGACCCCTTTTCGTCAGATCTTATCTCATGCCGGAAACTGTGCGATGTGATTCGCTGAAAGTCAGTTGACGCATTTGAAACAAGCTTTAATTTGTTACAAGCTTTAACGAGAGCCTGTCGGTGTTATTTCTCGGTTTCATTCCTCCTCGGCTACGTCCACTCCGCGGTTGAGGTTTGTAGCCGCCCTTTTTTTTTACGAAGTTGACTGGCTCCGATTTTTTGTTTGTAAATCTGCTTTGGTTGCCGGAAATTCCCTGCTTTCTG